TGGGCCATTGAATCGGGTCCCCGTGGTTGAATGGTGTACGAGCTTGCCTTGTGACCGGAAGGTCCTAGATTCGAACCCCAGTAGGTGCGTACTGCCGATGATTCCCAAACTAGGATGAAACATCTGCCCAGTACTACATACTGTTTTTCAACCGGACAAGGTTCAAGAATAGCGTCCCAAGGGGTGCGAATGCACGAGTAACTTTGAACCGACCAATCATAAAAATAAGTGATTTTTGCACAAAAAATGATGTATATTTACAAGAAAGTGCATGAAAATACATTAAAGTGTATCTTTTTCTGACATAACTTTAAAATACTTCCCACTTATAATGAGGAGTATCAGTTGCTAAGTTAGACTACTTTCTGTACATGTATTCACCGAGGTGGCTAAAGATGAGCTGTTTTTGTGAATTGTTTATCTCTCTTATCCTGTTGTGCAGTCTTCCCCAAAAGCCCTTGGTTGAATTACTATGGTTTCCAGTAAGAGGACTGACGACTACTTACCAGGAAAATGTGGATAAGAAAACAAATTAAAATAAATGACATCAACTCTAAATCTATCCTTAATTTTAACCCTAACCTTAATCCTGACCCTAACCCTAAACTTAACACTAACCCTAATTACGTCCTTTATCCTAACCGTAAACCTAACCCTAATGCTAATTATGACCCTGATCCTAACTCTAGCCTAATCTTAACCCTAACGAGGTATTAACACATTGTCCAAACATTACTTAAAAACATGATCTGAATGAAATTTGCTGGTGACAGGTGCCGTCAGCCAACGACTGGCATGCGTTCAACGTCACTGGAGCGTTTGCACTCCTGGGAGGCTATTGTTGAAATTCGCCTTCAATGGTTCTCTAACTGATACCAATCCGTGATCAACTCGTAAAGACTATATACATATATATATATATATATATATGTATCCTTGCTGTATAAAAATTCTATACCCTTTTTTCAAATTTCGCTGAACTTTTTCACCTTTCTGATATTTTCTCTATTTTATAATTTTTAGGCTTCTCTTTATGGAATGTCTCAACTGATACCGGATCGTTCACTTGTTACTGAATTAGCTCATGGTTACTTAGATGCATTATATGATACACCGGACAATAATAATAATAATAATAATGGCAAGCCAAAAATGAACTTCCATGCGAAGAAGTGATCAACCCCCATGTGTACGAATGGGGGAGGGGTGTGGGGGCTGTTATGCTCTTTCCGATCTCTATCATCTTTGAACAGTCTACTTTGCTTTGCTTATCACTGTTCACTTTTTTATCTGGCTTAGTCTTTTAATTTTATGCCTTTTTTTTTAAAATCCAATAATTAAAACTATCTACTTGTCTGCACAACTTGTACTTATAGTGTGGGCAATTGCTTATTCTTTTGATTTTCGGTTATTTCTATGGCTTCTTACCTTGTCAACTTGCCTTTCAATCTATCCTTACGATAACTGTGATGTTATTTTCTAATGTAAAGTTGTTTTATTACCTTTCCTCGGTGTTACAGTTTTACCACCTAAGTATTTTGTTTGTGTGTTGTACCAATTTCAGCTGAAAAAAAAACAATACAATGACCAAAACAGTTTTGGGATAATTTTAACTGTCTGTTCATGTTTGAATGTTAATTATGTGTTTTCAAGGATTGGTTTTTGTAGGGATTGTGTTTGATTGGTTGGAGGGTTTCATCATGTGCTGACATCAGTTAGAGAACCATTGGGCAACCACCAAGGAGTACTGGACAGCTGTTCTAAGCGGCCTAGCCAGGGACTCTTCATCAGTATGCACCCACCAGCTGTGTTCGAACCCAGGGCCTTCTGGTTACAAGGTAAGCTAGCTCGTAAACCATTAAGCCACTGGGACCCACCAATCTAATAGCCAACCGATGAATTCCAACCTCTGCCAATTCACGACATAGCGCGTCCACTTCGCAATGTCTTCTTCTATAAGTTACTGCCTCAACTTCACCTTGCTGCACCCTACTGGTCACGGCTTCCCACTAGAACTTCAGGTAACTGTCTGAATGGGGACAGTCGCTAATGAGCATCAGGTCAATTTTCCAGTGTTGGTTTTGTAGGGATTTTGTTTGATTGGCAGAAGTTAGAATTCATGGGCTGGCCATTGGAACGGCTCCCAGTGGCTCAACGGTCTACGAACCAGCTCGCCTTGTAACCAGAAGGTTGTGGGTCTGAACCCTGGTGGTGGGTGCATACTGATGAGGAGTCCCGAGCACTAGTATGGAACAGCTGTCCAGCACTCCCTGATGGTTTTCCAACAGTTCTCTAACTGATGTCAGCTCATGATGAAATCTTCCAACCAAATATGCGTTTGTATACAAGTTGGAGAATGCTGACTAAATGAGTAGGCCGCATCTTGCTATAGACAAGTTGGCCTGTGGTTTTTTTTATTCCTTCACGTTCCCAGTGGAACATAGGGCTTCAAGCTAGAGGCTTGAAGTTTCTGTGGCATTTGTATTTTTACAGGTTGGGGTTGCTAGCCCCATGCCCAACCTTTCCTCTTTACCAGCGTAATTTCTGGCTTAGCGAGGTAAAGGAAGAGTGCGTCGGCCGGGGATCGAATCCCGGACCATGTGCATGGTCGGCGGGCGTCCTAACCGCTATGCTACCGACGCCTGTGGTTGGAATTATCTAATATGCAGCCCGTTGATGAACTGATAGCTGATAAGTAGTAGTGTAGCGTGTGCTACTGATAAATGTTGTCAGTAGCCTGTAGATATATCATATGCAAAAATATCGAATAGCAGTGAAGTGGATTTGACGAACTTTGCTTGTGGAACAATACGGGAAACATGAAAGGAAGACAAAGAAGCACAATACCGAAGATATGTGCAAATGGAGATTCTGATATATCGTAGAGGTATTTTGCGTATATCTGTACATTGAGTTGCTTATAAGTAATTCCGTCGTGGTTACATTTGTTGCCACCGTCTTCGGACAATGAAGGTTACATGACCTGGAGCTTTCGAAGAAGGATACTTGACCAGCTTCTTGTGGGAAGTCGATGCTATCGCCGTGTCGGTGGGAATTTAGGATCTGACGACGAAGACTGTTGTGCTGAGGTGGCATACGCCAGTGTGGAGAGGTAAGGAAGCATTGGTGGTTGAGGTCGACGGACAGGCAGAATTTTTATGCCATGAAGGTAGGGCCTCTATGGAGACCCCTCGTATTGATGGTGAAGCTGAAAAGTCTACTTCGTCACATGCTTCCCACACCTGATGAAGAGTCGGAGACTCACTTGCTTGCAGCCCAGTGTATCGAAAGTGTTCCAGAACACAATTCTCATCATTTACAACCTATCGATATCGGTGAGCACGCGAAGGTAACAAGACATACTGGGCGCAGCTTTAGCCGCAACACAGCCACTAAGATTGGACTAGTGTACTGTGTACGGAAAAGGAAACATTTTAGACAGTATACTGTATTTTTTCTCTCCGATAAGACTGAAAGTAACGAGAACAATCGAAAGGAGGACCGTGTATTCTAAGTTGCTAGTGAATATCCAGGATATTGTTTGTCTAGTAAATATAAGAGCAGCATTCTATCTAATAGATCAGAATTTATTTCCGTGTTAGACAGCGTTCACTGACAATTTAAACGGTAGGTGAACACATGTTTAAAAGCACAGGCATGTCAAACTGCAGCGTTCACACTAGGAATAACAGGGTAGCGTCTCCGTTCATTATTGTGCCTGATTTACGGTAAACAATACTTAATTGACACGAAGGTGAGGTCTGTGATTACAAAGTGTCGATCTATTAGCATGCATGAGATCAGCGAGATAGCAAGGATGAAGGCGTCGAAAATACAGCATATAACAATATTAGTCAGAGAATGCTATCCTCTTTTCACTGAAGATGGTGACCCCTATGGTTATTGTGATAAGATGAGGCATGAAATCCCAATGACCTGCGTCGGAAAATGACACCAGATGATAAGGAAACCCACAAACGATAATCCGATCGTCAATTCAAGTATTGAATAAGCTTATAATGGCTCACGATACTTGGTCGTTTTCCTTAAAGAAATTGTCACAGTAATTTGGCGAACAATTCTCATATGCTTTACGGTCCTGTCGCACATACAAACAAAAAGCAGACAATACAGCTTTCATGATTTAAGTGTGGGAATAATTAATTGAATATCGTAAATGACATATTGTAAACAACTTCACCATAACTTCCATATTAGTTTGTTTATTAGATGTATCACACAGTGAAACAGTATTATGTACTGGATGACAAGGTTTCGAACAAAATTTATTGTTCATAATCATATCAATTGTAATCACACGACTTCGAAACTTGACTTTTATAGTTTTCTTTGTCCTCTCCTATTTGTCGTCGTAGGGGTAGTAGAATTCTCCAGATATCTGGGACAGGTGTTGAATCATTCCTATTACATGCATTTGCAGTTGATTCAATAAACATACTATACCCTGTGACATTAGATTTTAAAACTGCCATCTTATCCCATCCTATTGTGTGGTTGTGTGTAACTGCATGTAGTGCTATAGCTTAACTATTCTCTAGATTTCTTATCTTATTCGGGTCAACCAATCTAGATTTTGCTAGGTTTTCATGCTCAGCTAGTCTCACTCACCCTGCTCTACTACTTTGACCTATGTATTTGACCTGACAATGATTGCAGGCAGGGTATTAGATAAACTAAATTGTTTTATTATTTATTATTACTATCGCTACTATCATTATTTATTTTATTTTTACATTTCCTTACATATTTCCTGGTTAATTTATCCGGGTAATTATTAAGTTTCAAGGCTTCTTTTATGTGTATTAGTTCCTGTTTTAGATTTTCTTTGGTTTTACACATATATTCATCATAACTTGTCTACTTACTGACTGTAGCTTAAGTCCAACGAATATCTCAGCCTACAGGGACTATATGATCCGACCAAAAACACCAAGATCTAATCATCATTGAAAAATCCACTTGATAAATATACTGTCTAGCCTGTGTAATTTGTTCACAAAAAATTAGCATACAAATAATGGAATGATATCTGATCCAGTAGACTGTTGTATACACTGTCATTTGAAAGACTTTCTTTTTTGCTATCACAATGATTTGTATATTAACCGACGTCAATGACAAGTCAGTGTGTATGTACAACCACCACCACCACCAAGAACACCTTATCTGATCGGTCAAGTTGAGCTTTTGTTTCTCTGCTGTTGTCGCATCTCTTCAACCATTTGCATAACCAATTTCAAATCTTCTTTACGATAATCTGAGGTCAGTTTTAGATTGCCTTTCAAGCTTATTATCTCATCATGACACCTGGCCAGTGCAGTTTGTAATTCTTTTATACACTTTGTTATTATCTTGACTGAATGAGCGGATAGATTGCATTGAGAGATCACATCCTTGACATAATTACTATTCAGTAAATAGTCTAGCATTGTATCGTCTTCATTTGTCTCTGAATTGCTAATGTTGGGTATTTTCTCCCTTTTTGTAGAAGACTTCAACTTTGTTGTGCAGTAGTGTTTGTCATCATTTCCTCTTCTCGCCAACTGAGCATTTTGCTGGGAAATAAATTAAAAATTGAAAGCCGCTCATTATCACACTTATTTACATTTTTTAAAATAATATTCAATATAGAAAAAATCCCCATTTAGACATTTAGAAAACAGGAAGAATAAGGGAAGAAATATTTACTTTTCAATTAGATCCTCATCTCTGGCTCTACTGGCTCTCCTCATGTATAAAATCCACTTTCTCCATTAATGGTACATTGGTGAACAAGGAGGATACATCAAAAGATATCATAAACTTGTTCCTCACATTAAGATCTCTTATTTTTCCAACAAATTCAAAACTACCGTTTACGCATAATGAATTGGTAAAACATAGCGTAAACGGTAGTTTTGAATTTGTTGGAAAAATAAGAGATCTTAATGTGAGGAACAAGTTTATGATATCTTCTGATGTGTCCTCCTTGTTCACCAATGTACCGTTAATGGAGACAGTGGATTTTATATGTGAGGAGATTACTACACGAAACGTAGACATCGGGATTTCTATATCCACCTTGAAGGAACTTATTTTAAGATGTACAATGAATGTACATTTCCAATTCAATAAGGAATATTACAGACAAATTGATGGTGTTTCCATATTAGTTTGTTTATTAGATATATCACACAGTGAAGAAACAGTATTATTTACTGGATGACGTTTCGAACAAAATTTATTGTTCATAATCATATCAATTGTGATCACACGACTTTGACACGAGTTTTAAACTCAAGTGTCAAAGTCGTGTGATCACAACTGATATGATTATGAACAATAAATTTTGTTCGAAACGTCATCCAGTAAATAATACTGTTTCACTGTGTGATATACCTAATAAACAAACTAATATAAAATTACTTACTACCACAGTGCCCAAGTTTTACACATATATTAAATTGATGGTGTATCTATGGGCTCCCCATTAGGTCCAATCCTAGCTGATTTTTTCCTCGCTAAGTTAGAGAATGGACTACTGAAAGGAGTAATTAATGACTTGAATTTCTACTGTCGATATATGGATGATACATTTCTGGTTATGAAAACGCGAATGATGCAATGAACATCCTTGACAAGTTTAATGATGCACATTCAGCAATAAACTTTACCATAGAGAAAGAAAGTAATTACAATATCTCATTCCTAGACGTGTTCATGGCAATGAAAGAAGATGGCACACTAAGAAGGAGTGTGTATAGGAAACCTACAACAACAGGTCAGTACACTCATTTTTTGAGTTTTGTAACTTTGAAATAAAAATGTAACCTGGTAAAGTGTCTGGTTCATAGAGCCAGGTTAATCTGTTCAGACGACTGCCTCAATGAGGAGCTTAAGATTATTAGAGAATTACTTAGAAAAAATGGTTATCCAGATAAATTTATTGAGAAGAATATGAATTCAGCACCAAGGAGAGCCAGTATTGCTACAGTTTCGAAAAAACCAATGTTCATAAAATTGAAGTTCCTCGGTGAAAACATCAGCGAAATAATAACACAGCGCTTGAAGAATGCAGTTAAAAGAGCTTATTATGCAGCGGAGGTACGTTGTCTCTTCAAAACCACCCCTATTCTATGTTCGAGAAATAAGGATAAACTACCTAAATTTGCCTCCTCTATGTGTGTCTACCAGTTGGACTGCAGCTGCGGAGCCAGCTACATTGGGCGTACAATTAGGCAGGTTCATCATCGTATTTCCGAACATCATGCAAAATCGTTAAGCAAGGGACAAACAAGATCTATTCGGAGCTCTATTTTAGCACACCTTGTAGAAGATACTGAGCATAAGGTTGCTGTTAATACAGCATTTAAAATTATCTATCGCATTCCTACTAATCTTAATTTTGCTCTAAGAGTTCGTCTTCTACACACAGGTGAAGCAATAGGAATCCACCTGAAGAAGCCAAACTTGTGTGTTCAGAAGAAATATGTACAGCCACTTTCCTTACCGTGGCCATCGCTACAAGACAGGACTACGTCGCCCCCCTTCCCCTAAACCTTTAAAAACGATAAAAATTATAATTGTCCAAATTATTTTATTTTTATTTGTTTTGACCACTTCATCTTTAATTACGTGTTATCCTTTTAAAATTATTTTTCATTCTAACCATTTCTACCTTTTAAATGTGTATTGATTTTCTTCGCTAATTATCAACCCATTGACATTTTGACACTGTTTAATTATTGTTAACAAACATATCAGTGCCACTTGATTGCTAAACTGTTGTGTATTGTAATAAAAATGCTATGGATATATATTAGAGTAGAGCCAGAGATGAGGATCTAATTGAAAAGTAAATATTTCTTCGCCCAATCTTTCTGTTTTATAAATAATATTCAGTTATTGGAAGGATTACGAGTAGTTTATTGACCTAAGTCAACCGATTGTAGACAAAACGACCTTGAATAAATGAATCTGACTTTTTAGACGTTATAGAATGGTAAGAAAAACTAAATGGATGAGAGTTTTAATGTAATTGAAGAAAACATCTTCTGTTGAGCAGAACACTGGCTATGCAAGTGTGTTCCATGCATAGCCTTTATTGTCACCTAATACAGTCAGTTGTTGCAAAATTTCGTTCATTGCGACAGCAGGCCTAAATGTTGTTTGGAGGTCATATGTTTTATTACTCTCGAATGTTTACACAGATAATATCTATCGAAAGTCTGAGGGGGGCCATCAAAAATGCATACACACAGAGTGCTGTCGATAAGCGGCTTCATTGAAATGTCATAGCAATCTGTAAGAAGCTTACTGAAAGATGCAATTCTGCTGAGTTCAAACTGAAGCTGTTCACACACTGAACATCAAAAAAGATTTTCTAACTCTGTCGTGAAGTTCACTTTTCAAAAGCATCTCATAACATAATTACCTCTGTTGCTATCCTGACCTAGGTTGAAACATTTTAGTCAATTATATTACGTCATCTAACTTACGAACTTAATCTTACTTTAGTCGCTGTCTAATTAACCTTGTTTCTATGTTAGATCATTCTTGTATTACCTGATTAATTATCTAAACTTGACAAACCTTATGTACATACACACAAATAATTATATATAAATGCGATTGTGCAGCTATGTGAATGAATTCGCCGAAAAGAGTCTCTTCGCTGAACGTCTTCTCTTTTTCATCTGACTCAATGGGGATTTTTAAGCTACAAAAACATCTACGTTTAGAAAACAAAATTACTATCATTTTACGTTATATCTTGAAATAATTTGGTTGCTGGTGGCTATCAGTGGAATCCAGAGGAAGCGCATTTTCCTCAGTTGGATGTGCCTACCTGCATTCCTCGGTGAAGACACCATCATTCACTGAGGAATGCAGGTACATCCGGCTGGCAAGTTCCAAATGGGACGAAATGCGCATCAGGCATTCCACTGCTAGTCACCATCCACCAGATTATTTCGAGTGAATCTTCAGACATCACTGAAGCGTTGAGAACCACCATTCTCGTCAAACAGTAGTACTGTCTAGACAGAATGAAACACCAGATGGCAGTTTCGGGCCGAGCTGATTAGCCATGTGCCTGGCTCAACTCAGAACACAGATCATCACGTGATTGGATAACTATAAAATTTCACCGTCTTTTTCTCACCTTGGTCTTGGAGAAATGGCCAATCAATCAGAATGTCTATTTTTCACTGACCTAGCTGAATCACCTACTTATCAGAACAATGTATTTTCACTACCCTGGCCCTGTTTTAATGTGGTTAAAAAAATATACAAATCTGACGTGTTTTTCCTGACATAAATACCCTAACAGTCACAGGCCAGTCTTTTTCTTTTGATATTTCTATGGCTCAGGGAAGCGGAAGGTATCATAGAAAAGCAGGTGTATTTAGCATTTCAGTTGAGCTATCCATTGCGTCAGTATTATAAGGCCCACGCATAAGCCCACTCGATCATATCAAGTGACGAATTAGATCATAAAAATATGACACAGTTAGAGGTGAAATTTCACTCCCATTTCCTGCTACACCTCTGTATAGTGTAGTATGTTGGTGCATTTGTCAATCGCGAAGTTTCGTCTCTATCTTTTTGAATACTTTTTACTATTATAGGTTTCCAGGCCGTAGGTGTTACGAACTTCCTGAAATAATTTGAGCACCGATTCAGATTGATTCATTATAAATTATTTAAATTAATCCCAGTGTGTTAAGAAAATTTTTTACTATTCTTCAAGGTATTTTGAGTACTCCGTAGTCGCCTCCTGTCTCCATCATACTACGTTTTTCTTTATAGTATTGATGAAAAGTGTTGATTCGATAAAGCATCGGAAGATCCTTGGTCCTAACTCTGTAGTTTTCCAGGTTTTATTTCCACCTTCGTCATCACCACATCTGCAAATCCCGAACTATATACAGTAGTCTCATCAAGCAGCACTATACTACCAAAGCCATCTTCTGCAACAGTTGCAGAATTTATTGTAAGGGAATAAAATGTATAAAATCTAACAGAAAATATGAATAGTGTCAGGACTCTAACCTTCTATGCCTGAATCACTGGTTAGACTTTGCATTGACTTGGATAGTCTATTTTGGAAGTAATTCTTAAGATGTTCAGGGTATGTGCTAGTCGGCTAGCTGAGCTGATAAAATCAATTTAATAAATATAGTGTTACACACTCACTAAAATCTAGTCTGAACAACAATCAAGTAATCATAGCAGTATTGTTGTTGTTGTGCTGAACAAATGTTTTTTAATGCAACGACAAGATTACAAAAAAAAACTACTACATTAACAGGCTTCATGTAGTACAACGTCACAGTCTACAATTCCAAAGTTACTAGTTTAAATAATGATTACAGCCTATATATATAACTCTGATAAAAGCCGCATTGTTGACCTTTGTTTAACACTTGACAAACATATTTTGTTAAAAATAATTACTAGTTAGTTTAGTCAAAGTTGAACTGTCTGCCTATTTTGTTTAATCGATGACAATTTTCACACAAGATTCCAACATCTGTAGTTTAAAAATGCCGTTGACTTTGGATGGAAGAAGTGACAAGCTGTCAAAATAATTAACTTTATAATAATAATAATATTGATCAAGCTCAGTCGGTTTGAGATTCCCTCTCTTTTTTCCTCTCATGCAGTGCCGAGGTGTTGATCTGTATCATACAGATATCGTTCTCAAAAGTATACAACTTTGTGGAATATTTTCGAAGTAATTACACCTGGCACACTGATAGTGATTTCTAAAGATCATTCATTGTACAGAAAGTAGGATTTATTATTCAGCGTAAAATCCCTAAAGAACCGAATGTACTGAATGTAATGATATCATTCTATTTGACAGGTTCTCATCGCCTGTAAACTACCTGAAATTACTATGGTTTTTAAAAAAGTGGCAGTAGCATACTTCAATGTTTGAATGGTTTTTTCAAAAAAAATGTTTATTCCTTTACGTTCCCAGTGGAACATAGGGCTTAAAGCTAGAGACTTGAAGTTTCTGTATCAGTGGTGATTATTTTTACTAGCTAGCCTCATAACCAACTTTCCTTCCTCACCAGTCTTATTAGTGGCTAAGCGAGGTAAAGGAAGAGTGCGTCGGCCGAGGAACGAGCCCAGGACCACATACGTGGTTGGTGAGCTTTCTCTACCGCTCTGTCACCGGCTCACAAGTTCGAATTTAAGTCACTGTCAATTTATACCCTTTGAAAATACAAAAGGAGGGGGAGAAGACAGAAATATCTAATAAACGGTGTTAGCTTTTAGGTTCACATTAGCATAAAATAGGGAACCTGCTCAATGAGCTGAAATTACCAATATGGATGACTAATCAGTGTAATTAAAGCGTATTACCAAAGGAGTGAGAGATTGATTACACTAGCTTTCTGTATGCATAAGTTTGGTTGGAAACACTGGATTGCAATTAATTCAGAAAATCGCAGTAAATTTGTTGTCTTTTGTATGTTTAATATTTCTGAAGAATTTGGAAATTTCAACAAAGTGACCCGTATCCACAAGGTGTCTGGTAATTGAACTATGCTAATAACTGTTTCCTTTCACGAATAAATTCTTTAGAATAAGCTTACAAAACTAAACAGAAGTACTTCTTTCTGTCTTTCCAATGGACTTACTGGAGCAAATCCACGTAAATTTATAAACTCAGTTTGATGTGACATCAGCCTGGTACTTATCCAATTTAGACTGGCTTATAGAGCATGTGGTGGTGTATAAGTGTTACGATCTCAGGTGTAGAGAGACCGTTTTATTGCTCCTTTCATTCTTTTGTCAATCTTTTGAGACACTGTTTATCCTTTGAGTGGGAGATAAGTGATTCGTTTTCTCGTCTTTTTCTTTGCTGTACTTTTGGATAAATCCCCTTTGGATACCCATCTAGTTTCCCTTAGTCATTTCTCAACAAAACCTAATTCATCTTCCACCTTTTTGAGCGAACATAGCTTTCTGGCTCTGTCGTACAGTGTCACCAATAAACATACTTATAGAACAAAAGCTGTTACTTTGAAGAGATTGTCAGGTTCAGGTTTCTTTTCTATATATTGGCTTTTTCGGTCCTACCATCGGAAGGATATAAATTGATGTTAACTAAAATTGAAATTCGTAATGCTTTCATTTCGAATGCGTTAATTTTATGATATTCCCTCTCTTACCATTCAAAAACTGAAGCATTTTATTGTCTGTAATTCCAGGTAGTTTGCAGCTGATGAAGACCTGTGAGATGGAATGATATTATTTTCTACTGTAAATTTGGCCTTTCTTTCCTTATCGAAATTTATCAAGGGAACTGAATGTATGAACCAGGAAATTGTTTGAGCAACTAGCGAAATTTGTAAAGCACTGAATAATTAGCTGTTTTATCCTATCTTATCTTTAAGTTATTATTTCGTAAGGAAATCTATCTCGACACCAGCACGTCTATGATTCACCTTCTGGTGTATGCATCTAGCCAACTGTTATCCATGCATATTCTCTACACATTGTTCATCGTATATTGTTCTCATTTTGGGTTTTGCACCGACTGGAATAAATTTCGGTGTGTGGGTTTCTTCACAAACCTCCACCAGTTGGAGGATCTGTAAGAACTAGATAGTTGCCTCCTCCTAGTTTAGAACTCTTCAGCAGTCTACACTCCAAAGATCTGGTGACCAGGCCAGCTGGTTCGTCATCCAGTGCTCCTTGGTTTCCAATGATTCTCTAAATCATATCACTTCATGAAGAAACCTACACTTGCAATTAACAGTGTTCTCTGAACTGGTTGGTTTAGTTGCGGAGCTTTCGTCGTCCTTCTGTACATCTTCAGTGCAATATTTGGCATAAAGTGAAATGATTTCAATTTCTTCATGAGTGACAGAATTGCGTCTCCCGGTAACCATCTTTACATATGTGTTGACCATTTTCTATTGACTTGGATTTTAAACTTTTTGGTCACCTGATTTACTTTTTATGAGTGGGTAAATATGGTCTTTATTGATATGTTTCCTAATCGCTGATTCGCTTGAGTACCAGCCTTCTAGGAATTCCCTGGCACTTTTGGTGATCCTCTGTCTAAGATTTTGACATGATCCCAATCAAATTGATGTCCATAATTGTCTATATGCATTGATACTAAAGAATATATATCGTGTCTTTTCACGTCTGATTTGTGCCAGGAAATTCCTAGAAGCCTGGTACTCAAATGAAAATGCAATTAACAAACACGTTAATATAGACTAAATATACCAACTAATAAAAAGTAAATCAAGTAACCAGAAAGTTTAAAATCCAAGTCAATAGAAAATGGTCAATACAAATGTAAAGATGGTTACCGGGAGACGCAATTCTGTCACTCATGAAGAAATTGAAATCATTTCACTTTATGCTAAATATTGCGCTGAAGATGTTGTCCAAAAGTACGACGAGAACTCCGCAACTAAACCAACCAGTTCAGAGAACACTATTAATTGCAAATCATCCACCTGAGCTACAAATCTCTACTATTTCGAAACCCAAAACTAGTATATACTACTGCAGAAGGAGTTCAAAAAGCAAATACGTTAAGCTAAAGTGTACAAAACGATATGATGTGTAGATGATTGATTTACACTACTTAACTTACTATTTCCAGAGTGTTTTTCTGACTAAGCAGCTCTTCAATTCTGAATTCCATGCCTTCTATTAACTTTAGTAATCCATCACGTTCAGTTGTGAGACTTTTAACCAGATCGTACTCGCCATCAATGAAGAAGGAGGAGGAGGAGGAGTTATTCTGATGCTTTGAGTTCGATGGTGTTCCAATTCTGTTGTTCTCCAGTTCGCATTCGGAATCATTCACTTTCTTCTGATTCGCTTCAGCAAGACATTTATTTACATTCTCAATGTGCTCGTTTTTCTCAGCAATTATTTCCTAGAAATTTAAACAAGACAACAGCATATAACCAGTTATAAATATGAGTATAGTATTGCAGTTAAATCTCCTACTTGTCTTTTTGTAACAACAGAAGGCAAGACACGGGAGCCAAGGTGTATTTTTCAATAATCGAACCTCTGCTTATATATCTACACAGTTTATATTCGTTAACCAATCACTGAGCGTGTGATTTTGGTTTATATCAAACAACATGAAATAGAATGTTCAAATACATAAATAGTATTCTGTTGTTAATGCAGTATATAACCGTGGGAAATGTGTTCTGTCTTACATCAAACCGAATGTTCAAACAGACGCATTGTATGCAGTATTGAACTGTGAGAATGTGCGAGGATAACATTCCATTCGCACACCTTGTCTTTATCACACCACAACTGTTTTATTTTCCAGTTTTCAACTAATTAAATGATTCGATTTGGAAACCAACAGTAGATAAATTCACTCCTTTGATTGACTAACTACTGACTATTGTGCGTTAGTAGTATTTTGAGTTACAGCTAAAATGAACGTTGACTTTGGTACATAGCCTATCCTGTTTGTCGCTTATTCTTTTTAAACCATACATCAATGTTTTCATTTGCGTAGATATGCACGAGCATTCCATAGAAAATGAAGTAAGCATCTTCAATGGAACTCTACGGCAGCTTGACGTCAGTCGACAAATTAAGAAAATAGAACTTTTCAGAAAATTGCTTACACTAAAACTCATCCGTTTATATCAAGAACCTTAGACTTGCATAATCTGAATTACAGAATCCCGTTATCCAAGTAGTTTGAAATTCAGTCAGTCGACAATATATCTGTAAGGGAATTTCAGTGTGTTGTTTCACAAACTGTCTGTGAAATACTGAAACCTTTTTAATACAATCCACAATTCACCGAATCGAACTGGTAATTAGTTTCAGGGCAATAAAACTTGTTCTACCCAAAGTCTAGGAATGTTTCCGTGTGTAAGACTGGGTGTAAAAATGTGTATGAATCATGCGGGAATGCTGTGACAATATTTAAGCTTATGTTAACTAACAAAGTGCTCTTTGATACTCTGTCATAATGCCTCTAACTTATTCCTGACACACTCCACGCTAAGTGTGTTTGATTGGACACTAGTAACTAGTGTGATGTGTCTAGTGCTTTCTTTGGTGCAGACTGAATTCTATCAGTCAAGCTTACAATGTGGTCACCATGCTAGGTAGCTCGCCATCACGGTGCATATTCATTTGATTTGTGAGTGCCAGATAGCACGAAACCTAGGTCGAAGGCTTACTGCAGATTGCCTCCAACCATCTGTAACCAACAATTCACAGTGCACCGTGGTGGCGAGCCACCTAGCATGGTGGCCACATTGCAAGCTTGACTGGTAGAATTCAGTCTGCACCGAAGATAGGACTAGTTACTGACTAGCGTCCAATCAAAAATATCCAATACACGTCTACAGGAGGTCAGTCGCTAGCCTGAATAACTCAGTGGTAGCGTCTCTAATGGCAGCACTGGGTAACGCGGGTTCGAATCTCAGAAGAGATATGAATTTTTTTTTGATTTACAGCTTAATTCCACACCGTATTTTCAGTACAAGTATGGAATTTTCAGCATGGATATCGGTAGCCCAAATTCAGGCCGACCATAGGTATCGGGTGTGCGCCGGCAGGGGATCGAACCTCGGACTATGTGCATGGTCGGCGAGAGTCCTAACCACTGTGCCACCTTCGAGGTTGCAGACATACCTTGCTGATGAGTGTCAGCTAGCACGAAACCTAGGTCCAAGGCTTCCTGCCAATTGCCTCCGACCATCTTAGACCTTGTTACTACAAGAAATACTCCTACGAATTTGAAAAAAAGTTACTGTGTAGGTCAAATATGTCCAGCTCACCTCGTTAGTGGGACTAAACACTAGAAAAGACCCAGGTTCCTAACTATCCGTGAATATATCTTCGTCTACTTGTATATTCTATCTTGAAATTTGTAGAAATTAGAAGTCAGAAAGCATTACTGTTCTATATATGCATGGTTGGCTGAATTTTCGAGTCTAAACATATGTGTAACTAGGTTGCGATTTCCGTATTTTTTCACAGGACCTATGCCTTAGAAACCAGTGCAAATAATGATACATTTTAAAGTCTGAAAAAACTTCACCAGCCACTTCTCACAATAACACAACTTAAAGACCGATAAACGCTTACCTTTAATTTGTCTACTTCAATTTCTTTTCTTTGCTCTAGACTCGATAATTCCTGATTAAGCCTTTCTATCTCCTTTTCTCTCTCTGTGTTCAAATTTTGCATGTTGACAACTTCTTTTTGTAGGCATTCATTACGCTGAACTAGTGATTCTATAAGTTCATCGTCATGTTTTCCTTTCTGTATAAGGAAAACAATTTGTTTTTTAAGCTCCTTTTGCTCTTGTCCAAGATTGTTAACGCGTTGTTTCGTTTTTTGAAGTTTACTTTTAGTAGAGCACAACTCCTCTTCTAAATGCTTTTTGTCATCTTGTAGTTGTTTCGCAGAGGATTTCGTTAAATGCTGTTCTGTCAGATGATTGAACGTAGGCGTATGACATGTTTTCGGCGTTTGCAGTTCTCCGTCCTCTTGAAAGTAACTGATGCCAAATGAAGTTGCACCAGAGAATAATTCATCTTCTGCATTCTGTTTGCAAACAAGATCCTCTGAACGAGAGATCGTTTTAGCATTGAGTTGTGACTGTAGTTTTGCAATTCGATTTTTCAATGCAGATATCTGTTGTTGTCGACCGCGCCAGTTTGGCAATAATGAGCATGTACCACCATCCTGAATTCCGTTCTTTAGCCGCATATTAGTTAACCAAGTGCTGATATTGGGTATTACCTCGCCTGTTTCGGCTTCAACTACCTTTTTAGCCAGCAATAAGTCACGATTTAAGACTTGAACTTTCTGACGCAGCTCTGAGACAACAGACTCTAGTTTCTTCAGCTTTTTCTCCTGTTCCATACGTTCAGCTGTACCATCCAACTTCTCTTCGGTGTATGGCGTCTTGCTTTGCTTACACAAGTGGCAAACAACAACTTCTTTACTTTGATCACTGGACTCCAGCCTCCGAACTGTCTGATGCAGGTTATTGCATTTATTTCGCTCACTGATAAGTGCAGCATTCAACTCTCTAATCTTTTTTGACAGCTCAATAATCTTTAATGAGGCGACATCTAATCCAGTGTCGTTAGAGGTAAACTTTGAAGCTTCAGATCTATTGCTAACTAGACTGTTATTCTCTTCCTGCTTGGATTCTTTCCCATGAAAGTAGTCCAGCATTCTACTCTCAGTTCAATAGAGTAATATGCGTAAGCCGGGTTGCGATAACTGGAACGACCCCTGTCTACTTCTCTCACACAAAAGAACAACCAGTGATCCCAGGAAATGCTTCCTTTATTTCAGGTGTTTGTTTATCTTCCAGTATTTTGAAAGCATTTATACGAAAAAGAACTTTAGAAGTGATGAGAAACACAAGTGATCTGTGGTTGTATGCTGACTTTCCTTTTACCTAAGGGAAACACACAGAAAGGAGTGAAGAATTAAACAAATTACTAAGTCACCGTAGAAATCCAGGTGTGACCCAAAGCCTTGTAAATCTCCTCTTATTTTTACCTAGTTATCAAGCATGATCGGTAAACTGCAAAAAAAATGATTTAGGATCATTTCTATCATTATTACTGATATTTTTGTAAGTAATATAAATGACTGGAGCGCTTTTTCTACGAATATTCCTATAGTTTACTAAATTTTTTAGCTCCTCACGTCAAATCTACTTACTTACACTTCTGCCTATAATCAAATATTTATCATTCATTAAACTGTTTGACAATGGTGGACGAATGTGAAACAAACTAGAGTTCAAACTGTCAGCCTATGAGTTGCTGGCTTGTTGCTCTATCCACTGAGATATAAAATTTCAGGTTCATTCTATATGTACCCTGATAGCATTATAAGGAACCGTACCATAATGGCTAGTCATACTGAGAACAAAAGGGGTGACGATGCAGCTGGCCATAGTGCAGAATAATTAAGTATCATCGTAGGCTGGAGACAGGTTATCGTAACTGCACAGCACTCCACTCGAAGCCATCATTCTGATTAGAAGCTGGTGAAGCCACTCGATTGTAAATAAGTTGTCAAAATATAATTACAGCGTGTTTCATTATGTAGTCACTTATACTTTCTGTGGTCATCAAAACAAGTAGAACACTCTACAAAGTCTCTTCCTAAGATTGTGCTTTTCTTGCTGTAAGCTGGATAGATTCTAAATAGTTTTCTTCCGTTTTCTAACATGAATCACGAATATGCGATTCAGTTAATGATTTCTCAACAGATAAACGCTTTCTATCACATCCGTCACCACTGGTCCTTCCATCTAAACAATGTTTAAAGTACAGGAAGCTTACCATGGAATTTCAGGTAAAACAAACAAGCAGTTTGCCGGCTTAAAGTTGATTAATCAATCAGTGCGAGTAGAACACGTTCACAAAATACAAGTTGGGCATCTGGTTAAACGCATTATGTCAAGTCATGTAAAATTACACCGAAATGAAGACAAAGATGACTGAGTAGAAGGCATGCCATAGAATTGTAATCAGTCTGCTGATAAATAATGACTGTTATTGGGGAGCGTGAATAAAATAAAAGGAGAGGTCAAGGATCCAAATGATGAGCAGCCTACTAAATGTTGCTAAGCAGTTCAGATATATTCAGAATAGTGGTGTGCAAATTTTCAGTCAAATACTATCTTACCTAACTTAGCAACCGGAAGAAATCTCAAACTACTCCAACAAAGGCTGAATATAGGAGTCGTCACCGCCGTGGCATCAGCTCTGGTCGCATTAGAGGAAAATGGGATGGATTTTTGGACATCGATCAAGGCATTGTATTCCAATCCCTAAATAAACTAGACATCGGGAAACCGGCCATATCCAATGAACTTCACTCAAAGCTTCGTAAGCAACTTACAGATCACAT